CCCCTGCCACATCACCACAGACTCTCTCCCCCACTCCCAACTCCAGCATGTGTCATGAGAGCCAGGCTAAGCAACACACAAGCACCCACTATTATCACAAGCTTGTCACAGTGTGTCCCAGCCAGCCTGCACCCTGCCATGGCATCCCACTGCCTGTGCCCAAGCAAGGACCAGGAGCTGTGGCAAGTCCTGCTGGTCACCCTGTGTGATTCTCACTGGAGGCTGCGGGATATCATGTGCTCCCAGCTGAACCTGATGCAGCAGTGGATCACCATGGCATGCGCCCTCATGCCCATGCGCCACCAGCCAGCCATCCTGTGTCTTGCCATCTGCTGCACCCCATGCCTGCCAAGTATCCTGGACTGTGCCACAGACTTCCATATGACCGATGAGGATGAGACCATCTACGACACCAGGGTAATCTGGCACTATCTCCAGATCATTAAGCACCAGTTCCGGGCCCGTGCCACTAGCATGGACTGGTGGGAGTGGATCATCCTTGGCACCTGGGATGATGAACTTTGGCTCCAGACCTTCTACATGCGCTAGGCCACCTTCATGGACATTGTTGCCCAGATGGCCCCCTACATTGTGCACTAGGATGTCCGCATGTGGCCACGCCTCACTCTGGAGAAGCAGGTGGCCATCACTGTCATGCAGCTGCCACCCCCGACAGTCTCTGCTTCATTGCCAACCAGTTCAGTGTGGGCAGGTCCACAGCCAGAGAGGCTGTCCAGGAGGTGTGCCTGATTATCCAAGATACCTTGGAAAACTGCCTCATTCACCTTATGAACCTGCAGGAGGTGGTCCCTGGCTTCCACAACATGGGCCTCCCCAACTGCATGGGAGTTGTGGACAACATGCCTATCCCCATCATCTGCTCGCCCCAGGGTGCCCAGGCATTCATCAACTGCAAGTGCTACTTCTCCATCATCCTGCAGGGCATCACTGACCATTGGGGATGTTTCACCCATATCTTTGCCAGCTGAGTGGACAGTGCCCATGATGCCTGTGTCTGCTGTAACTCCCAACTCCCCGACCTGATGGAGAGCAAGCACTATGTTCCCAGGCTCTCTGATTTTGTCATCGGCGATGAAATCCTCCCCCCCCTCCCCCTTTCAGGTCAATGACCTGGCTTACCCCTCCTGTTCTATGGGAGCAGCTGGACCACTGAAAGGAGCACTTCAAGTACTGCCTGAGCAGGTGCATGATGATGGAGTGTGCCTTCAGCCGCCTCAAGGCACCCTGGCCGGCTCTCAATGCACACCTCGAGGTGGATGAGGAAAACCTGACGTGACTCATTGGTGCTGTGTGTGTCCTCCACAACATCCATGAGATCTGAGGGGAGGTATTCCATGAAGCCTGGGCCAAGGAGGCACAGCGCACTGACTGGGCCTGTCAGCATAAGCAAACGTGGTGCAGGGATGGGGGAGAGGCCAAGCCCTCCACCAATGCTGGGGGCCCTGGCATTATGAAGTAGCAGGCTGCTGTATCCATGAAGCCCTGGTTGACTACCTCTTCACCTTCATGGATCTTACTGCTCCCTGGAGGAGTAAGGCTTCAAGTGCCAGTGCCCTGGCTCTGGGTCATAGGTCTCCAGCTCTGGGGACACAAAACAGGGTTTGAGGGAATGTGGCATGAGGAAGATACATGCCTCAGTTTATAATGTTGAAGTTGCCAAACTTTTTTTTAAATAGAAAAACCTGCTGAACATTGCCTGTGGCAGAACATGTTCCCTCATCCCAGTTGACACACACCAGCAAACCTGTGGGGGTGGGGGATTAGAGAAAGGGGTGCAAGACCCCAGAGGGTCTTAGGACAGGGAAGGTGGAGGCAGTTGGGGTCAGGGGGATTGCCACAGGCTCTGAACTGGGGAAAAACCAACCGCTGGCGGGGAGGCATGAAGTACAGGGGCTTCTCACCTGGCACATTACTCCCTGACCTAGGGAGTAAAGACCAGGGACTTCTCTGTGTAGGAGCAGGACAGGTGGGTGATCCCAGATCCACTGTCTGTCTGAAGGAGCTGCGGGGTGGGAAGCAGCTGATGGGCTAGCAGGGGCAGGGACAGCAGCCAGAAATGTTTGTTGTGTTACAGCTACAGAGTGCTTTTGGGGGCCTCATCACGTGAAAAATGTAACTTCTGTACACACCCTTAGTGATAGTGGGCGCTCTAGCAACAATAATTCTGAGTACCTGCATGGCCTTGCACAATAGGATTTCCACCTATCAACAGCCTCATCCTACTGTGGAACCTCAGTTTAGTCCTTTGGCTATCATTGTTCTTGTTTGTGCTGATGGTGATGTGTCAGTGGACAGCTGTTACTTATAAATGGAAATGTCATCACGGGCTACCATTGTCTCAACGAAGAGAGTAGGATTCTTTGTTGTCTTTTGCCTAGACAGAGTCTAAGAACAAACCCCAAACTTCTACCAGAGGTGCTCACTGAATGCTGCCTGAATCAGCAAATTTACTTTCCCATATTCTTCTCTAAACAGTGTACATTTAGGAGAAAATCATTTCTCCGTGCCTCAACATCATGTGTGCCCCAGCACCCTATCTACAAAGAAAGAAGCTGCTCAGGTCCTCACATAGGTTTTTTGCTATCATTGCTAAAGGAAGAGAGGCAAATCATTTTCAAAGACTGCTAAAATGGATTTATGACTATATGAAGGCATGCTAGAAGGCATCTATCTATCATTGTTACGAGTTTATTCTACCAGAGTTCAGCCAGTGTCTACAACTTCACTGACACACATATATATCAGAATTCTGCAAAACTGTCATCTGAACGCTATTCATACATTCAGTCTCTGAAGCTTTTAGAGCTGATGCTAAATTTGATGAGGCAATGTTCTAGTTTTTGTTTTGTGAGTCTCTGAGTTCCCATCTTTGAACTGGAGTGGTCCACTCCTTTAGAACCACAAATATGCACATGTGCAATCATTTGGAAGAAAATGAAAAATTGCCTGCCTGTGCAGATTTTTCTACCTGGGTTTTTTTCAAGATGTGAGGCCTATAAATGCATTCTGTGACCTGTCTCTCTGCTGTCCTGGAGTCATTTTCATCTTGGATGATGCAGTTTAGGTGCAGGTGACACATACCATCCTTTGTGCCCCTGGTGTGCAGAAGTGACAGGCACTGTCAGGGCAGATGTGTGCCATATGGATGCTGCTGGCAAAAATCCTGAGTGCTGCGTGCATGGGGTATGTGTCTACCATCCATTAGCAGAAGGTGTATGCAGACAATACGTCTTTTTAAATTTTTTGCTGGATGTGGAGATTAGCAGGGTACGGCTCTACATACTCATATATATGTGTTACTCATACTTCTGTCTACGTATGTGCTTTTATATTTTAAATTACAAGGGAAAAATCAGATTACGCCTTAATGTCTTTCATTGCTTCACATGGAAAAAAAGCTTTTAAATGAGCCCCATTTTCTTTTTATATCTATTCTTTGTTTATTTCAATTGTCATTTGCTTCTGTAATCTCTGCTAAATAGCTATGAAATTTGCTTTAATCTTGATTTTATTGCATAATGGATATGTATCTTAGGGAAAATATTGAAACAACTAAATTAGGTGAATAAACTTTTCTTTCACAACCTCTTTATTGAGACCATAAGATGTGAGAAGTGAAGTTAGAAAGTCCATTAAACCCAATAAATGTACCACCTTGAATCAAAATTATTATCATACAAAAACATCCTGAGGATTTGGTGTCTTATCCTTTCTTGGTTTCACATGTATTATTTCTTTTATGTCAAGGTTTTCTCACATTATAATAATATATTATTTTACTGTGTCAGAAGGTGGCAGTACAACACAAGTCTTAACCCAAATTGTAAAAGTATTATTAATATTATCTTTCAGAACATTGGATATATTTGAAGAGGGAAGATGAACTTACTTTGACAGGGCCAACAACAGTATTGTCTGACTCTTAAACATGAAGTTGCAAAGTTTACAAGAAAGTATCAATAAGATGATATTGTTCCCTTCTCAGAATAAATTACACAGAGGTTTTTTCTTGTGGTTTTTTGCAAAGCTTGTCCTACAAAAAGCACATTTTATTTGATTAATACGAGACACCTCTAATTCTTCCTTTCAGTCTGGTGGCTATGGCACACTTTTTGGTGGTCAGAGCTGTCAGTTTGAACCCCTTCAGACTGAGATAGGCAAGGCTGGAACCAGAGTGGGTTCAGTGGTCACATCTGCCCATTTGGACCACACTGTAAGAGCAGCAGCCAGAGACTTTAAGTCCCGGCAAAAGGTAAGAATTTCCCTGCTCTCACCACTCTCTGCTATAAATAGAGAGGGGGAAGAGAGGAATGGGAGAGGAGAGCACATACTGCTGAGCACAGAGGGGAAAGTAGAAGTTGCTGAGATTTGGGGAGGATTCTTACTGGATTTGGGAACTTTAAAAATGTCCCTGGCTGCTGCTCCCGCAGCATGGTCCACCATTGGGAGCATTGGGAGTGGGGGTGAAGCCACCACTGCAGTGCTGGTTGCTGCTTCCATAAAATCCTGGAACCACCCATGGAGGTAGGTATATAACCCAGATTTTCCAGTGCCTGAGTGAGGGCTTTAGTACAGACTGTAAAGTTAGTCGCCCTCTCCACCCCAGCCATTATTTTTCAATTGAAGTGACTATGGCTGCTGTAAAAGTGTTATGCTGAACTCAGTAGTGTTGGGGAACACTCAGAACAGTTTTACAAGATGGGGCCCTGCAATGGACTTACGCACAGGGATGTCTTGTTCATAACTCTAAAACAGTCGGTGGGTACAGCATGCTAAGATACTCAACTTGCCCCAAATGGCAGTGCTTCTGGACACCCTAAGTAACTTTTCTGGCAAAAGCTTCTCTTGGCATTTAAGTGTTTAGGTGGAGATTTTGTAGGTCTTGTTGTTAGGTGCCTAAATTCTGTGCAGGTTGCACTTTAAGCACCTAAGTGCTTTTGCATCTGGCCCTTAGTTTTTTACGCCTAATTCTAAAGACCCATGCACCCACACATGCATGCATACTTACTCTGGATTGATGGCTGGATCTTTCACATGTGCTGCAGTTCTATAGATATGCTTACAGATACTCTTTTTTACAGAGAAGTTGGTACAATCATAAGGTCATTAGGTTGCTGCCCAAGTGAGGCGGAACTACATGATATGCTTGCAGAGGTAAGTGGTTTATGTCTTTTGTAACTTTTTCCTTGCTTTTATAACTCATAAAAGTTTTTTTTTCTCTTCATTGCTATGCAGGAGACCTAAGTTTTTTTCCTAGAGCTTGAAAATTTCATGGAGGCAGTTCGTTCAGGAACACAGTCCCTTAGATTGCCCTGAAGCAACCCTTCTGGCTGATATGGAAACAATACTGAATAGACTAGAAAGAGGAGTCTTTTTTCTTTCTTCTACTGAAGAAGGTCGCTGTGACTCAGTGCCAAGAAAGTATGGACGCATTATGTCAAGAACCAAGGAAAAAATTCCTTTGCTGATAATAAATATTGAGTTACATACTCCTTGGGATACACAAACTCCAACTATATTATTTCTTGACATGCTCAGGCCCAACGGAATGACCAATAAACTCCTGAAATGTTATTAAAGTTCTAACTTTAATCTCAGAGGGTGCCTGTAGAGATGCGGGGACACTGCTCCAATGCACTGTAATTACAGTGCATAAGAGCAGACTTGATTAATCGAGTCTGCTGGTTCATGCTACTTAGCGTGCTCTAGCAGCCTCTGCATCTTGTGTATTCAGCGTCCCTATGCTTCAAAATGGCAGTAGGGTGCTTTAACTAAAGCTCATCGAACGAGCTCTACTTAGTGCCCCCACTGCCATTTTGAAGTGTGGGACACTGAATATGTAAGATGTTGAAGGTGCTTTAATAGAGCAGCTCTGGGAGCTGCTATAATTAAAGCATCCCTCCCCTGACCCCTGGAGCACATGTGAAGATGCCCTGAAAGCTTCTGAGGAAAAACTTGCCATGTATTCTTTGTTAATCCCTGTTATTCCTACAAATTGTAGCATGTTATTTAGCCAGTATTAATGGGCCCTTTGATTCAGGAACACAAGTGAGGGGCAAATTAACAAGATGGCTGCACTGGTAAAAATTTTTGTGTGTTTGTAGTAACTTCAGTGCTACTTATTTTAATTGACTTAAATTTTTTTTTCCTTTTCCGTGATGCTTGGTCCCATTTAATAGTTCAGGACGAAAGTCTATTGTATTACAAAACTGATCTGTTGTGGTGGGGTTCGCATTTTTTTTATGTCGCTGCTGAAAACACATCAACACTTTGCCCTTTTTTACCAAAATGATATGACTTGCCTTTGTTATTTCTTCTAAATATTTCCTGGTTTTCCTGATTCTTCTTCTGAGTCTTTATTCTTTCTTCAACGGATTTTTTGTTCCAAGAGTTGTAATGGAGTCCGTAAGTCCTTATTCGTAAATTAAAAATTAAGTAACATTTTTAAAAAGAGTAACGCTGGGCTCATTGCTACAGCGACCTAGCATCAGCGGGTACAAACCCTAATGCCAACGCTACATTGTCATAGCTTGTCGCTATGGTGAAGTAGTATCTAAAAACCGTGAACCACAGGGACTGTGCAGTACTGGCGGGTACTGTGCAGTCATTTAGTACTTGCTAAAGCTAACACAAGTACTAAATAACTGCACAGTACCAAATGTGCAGTCAGGGGCATGTGTAGATGTGCCCGCTAAGTAGAAACATTGTCCAAAACCAAGTTGAGAATAAGCATTTTATTGCATAAATTTGAGTTCAGATTTAGAGGGTAATTATATCCTGCAGCATAACTATTTACAAAAGAATATGTTTTAACCCATCAGTTGTCTAACAAACAGATAGAACAGTTAATGTTTTTACTGTTGCAGACAAACTGCTGTCAGGGATGGAAGTTACACCTCTGTTTATAGTGGGTGCTGAATGCTTCATGTTATGAAGTGGAGCTTCTGCAGACCACGAGACATAGGTGCCAGGAGGTTCCAGAAACTCCCAAAGCAATGAATGTGAATGTGCAAAGCTTCTTCTTTAGGGCCCACTGTTATAGATAAGAAATTATTTCAAACTTATTCGTTTCATAGATTCATAGATTCATAGATGTTAGGGTCGGAAGGGACCTCAATAGATCATCGAGTCCGACGCCCTGCATAGGCAGGAAAGAGTGCTGGATTCAGATGACTCCAGCCAGATGCCTTCTCTTGAAGACCCCCAGGGTAGGGGAGAGCACCACCTCCCTTGGGAGCCCGTTCCAGACCTTGGCCACTCGAACTTGATGAACTTATAGGCAGCCACAAGGTCACCTCTTAACCTTCTCTTGCGGAGGCTGAAGAGGTCCAGGTGCCCTAGTCTCTCCTCATAGGGCTTGGCCTGCAAGCCCTTAACCATACGAGTGGCCCTTCTCTGGACCCTCTCCAGGTTATCCACATCCCTCTTGAAGTGTGGCGCCCAAAATTGCATGCAGTATTCCAACTGCGGTCTGACCAGCGCCCAACAGAGGGGAAGTATCACCTCCTTGGATCTGTTCGTCATGCATCTGCTGATGCACGATAAAGTGCCATTAGCTTTTCTGATGGCTTCGTCACACTGCCGACTCATGTTCATCTTGGAGTCCACTAGGACTCCAAGATCCCTTTCCGCTTCCGTTCCACCAAGCAGGTCATTTCCTAGGCAGTAGGTATGCTGGACATTTTTCCTCCCTAGGTGCAGCACTTTGCATTTCTCCTTGTTGAATTGCATTCTGTTGTTTTGTGCCCATATGTCCAACCTGTCCAGGTCTGCTTGTAGTTGTTTCATCCTATAAGTCTGTGTTCAGACTTCAGTGATAGTGATATGCTGCAATTTTTTTACTCCCTGTTAGGGCAGGGTGAAGAACTTTCATTGGTAATATCAGTCCAGTGGCGTTTTTATTATTTTTTTATTTGAATACTTACTTTTATATTATAATTGCCGCTTCTCAGTTCCTGCTTTTTATCTAGCTTCCTAACAGATGGCTAGGAAGGGCTAGGATGCCATTCTACAGGGGGCAGGGCCATTGTAGAGAAACTTGAAGGGGCAGGGCCATTGTACAGACATTTCCCACCTCATCTTTTTGCAGGTGGTACGAAGATGAAACACTATGTTGGGTGAAGGACAGGTACCTTGATTGGGAGGAACAAGGGAGGAGGAGAAGGATGAAATGGACATCTTAAATATCTGCAAAACTTTGAATGATTAAATAGCTGACAGCAAATGCACCGATCTTGCCCATCAGCACCATCTATCCAAATCTAGAAAGGACTTTTCCCCCAGTCTTTCTGCATTTATCTGCATAGAAAAGCCCAGGACTGCTAGTCCTTAGGCACTGGTGATTGCATGGGTGTTTCACTCTGAGATCAGTGAGAATTGAGGCTGCTCACCTACTTGCAGTATTGTCTCCAAGATCAGTTATGAAATATTTCTTATACAAGGAAGTGCTTTATCAGGGTATGAGGCAAACAATGAGCAACACATCTGGCAGCAATGCTCAACACTTTATGTTGTATGCCACATCACATGTTTCTGTTCTGGAGAGGATATCTGCCATTAATGTTTTTTCCATCCAGTCTGAGAATTAGGAGCACATTCTGCCTTGTGTTGAGCAGCTGTAACACCCACTGATTTAAACGGAAAGTGAAGGTGCTAAACACTGCACATAATCAAGCTAATGATTTTGGCTTTCACGTGTAATGTATTATATCATCTTTCTGTGACCTTTGGGGCTTGCTTACTGTTTGCTCTGATTAATATAGGCTATCTCTTCACATTTCCTATAAATAGTTACCATATTTCTTCCTCTGTCTCTCTGGTTTCCTGACCAACAGCTAGTTGAAGCATAAGGACTTCATAAAATATTCTGCCCTAGACGTTGCCTCAATATGTGTGAAGCCTAAAACAGTTTGATTTATTGAATACTTGTCAGGTCATGGGAAGGATTTTAATTTTTGCCATATATTTTATTGCACCTTTGCAGTAAATTCAGCATTAAAATATACAATCCTGAAATGGGAGAAGATACTGTTTTATTTAGAGTGTGGCATAGAACACCTTCATTTTCTAGCTAAAGATTCTCTCTTACCAGGCTTGACAAAAGGAAAGCAAAGTTTTAAATTCAAGCCACCTTCTGCACTGAAGGGGTTGGATGAAGAAGCTGGTGTCTGCTTCCAGGTACTTTCTAATGCAGCCAGAATGCTTTAAAGCAAGGAAGTGCATCCTCTGGCCCGCTGGCCAAATTAAGCCCATGGAGCCATCGCATCAGGCCCCCAGGCTCCTCACAGGTCAGGAAATTTGATGGTAGGGAAGCAGTGGCTATTAATATGGACACTCTCCCCCCTACCAGATTCCAAAACCCGAAGCACCCAGTCAGAGCCAGGCTACATCCCCTTCCCTCCCTCAAGGCCAGGTTGGGGCCAGACCATGCCCCTTCCCCATGACGCTGAGCCATGTCCCCTTCCCCACCCCATGGCTGGGTTGGGGCCAGGCCATCCCCCTTCCATCTTCCCCCCAGCTCTGTTGGGCCAGGCCACACCCCCTTCCTCCTGCAGGGTTGGATGATGTTCCTTTCCCCCCATGCGGTGAAGGCCCTTTGCCCCCGTGGAGCTGGGTTCAGGCCAGGATGCCCTCTGTCCCACTCTGTGTGGCCAGATGGTGGCTGCTGCACTGGTCTTGGGCACTGAATCAGAACCACCGTCTGGCCTGCAGTTGGACCAGGTGCTGCCCATCCAGTCTGCCAGAGAAGAAGGTTGAGCATCAGCGCTTTAAGAATATATGGAAAGTGCGTACATATGGATGCAATTGGTGCTGCATACATTCTCTCCTGCTCTGGGTCTAGCCACAGTCTTCATTGTAAGGAAGAAAAGCAGGATGCCTCCGAGTCCTTACTGTCACATTTGAGTAATGTATATCCAATACGTGTAACAGGGGGTGCTGACAGACATGCAGATCCCTGCTCTAACTCATGGGGCTTCACAGAAAGTGCCATGAATTAAGAGTGATCCATCACTCCCCCACCCACAACAGTTTGCTG